AGCCGCCCGACCCTGGGGCTCCGGGCGGAAAAGGTGGGGACGCACCAGGGCGCACACCACACCCAGCCTGGCCCTTTCCTCCTTCCTGGGAGGACAGCCGGCCCAACCGGAGGCCGGGAAGGGGTGACTCCGCAGGAAGCAGCCGGGAGCCCGTGGATCAGGGGATGAGGTCGGGGAGACGGCACTGGCTGCCGTCTGTTGGGCCCCAACTTCGTGCCGCTGTCTGAGGGGCGATGCATAGGGGACCTCGTTAAATCCCTCCTCCAGCAGCAGCCGGGTGAGAGCGTTGTCCGGCTGCTCTTGCGCCCATTTTACAGATGCAACCACCGCGTCAGAGGCCACACAGCTGGTCACAGGCAGAGCAAGGGCTGAAGTCGCCGCCGGGATGTATATGATCAGATGCTACCCTGCTGCTGGCCAGCTGATTGATCTCAGGGGTGACAGGTTTGGGAAACAAAAAATACATTCTCCCAGTTAAGTTTGAATTTCAAATAAACACCAATAATTTTTTCATGTAAGTGTGTGTGTGGGGCGGGGGAGAGAAAGTTTCCTCTACCTTTCTATATTCTCCCACAGGTCTAATAATTAAATGGACATGATTAGCAAGGGAAATAGCCTAATTTAACCACATACATGCATTAGTAAACCGGCACATACATGAGAGGGAAAAAGAGGTGTCCATGGCCTTTTGAGCTAAGGCTAAGGTTAGGACCAGACAGTGCGGCTCAGGGGAACACCCGGGCGCAGACACACACTCTACATGGCCTCACCCATCACCGGGAACCTTCCAGGAGTGAGTCCCAGCCCCGAGGGCAGGGGGTGAGTCAGAAGCAGCTGGGATCACCCAGAGCTGCCTGGCTGGGCGTGGGCCAGCAGTGTGTGTGTGTGTGTGTGTGTGTGTGTGTGTGTGTGTGTGTGTGTGAGAGAGAGAGAGAGAGAGAGAGAGAGAGAGAGCGTGCGCCATGGCCCTGGATGGTGTGAGTGGTCACAGGGACACCTGCAGGTATGCGGAAAGGGAGATCCTGCTTTCCCATTGTATGGATGGGAAAACAGAGGCAGCTAAAGGGTGGCAGACAGAGCAAGCCTGGGCCACCGCCCCAGACGCGGTCCTGCCCCTCTGTCGTCCGGCTCGGGAGGGCGAAGGGGATGGCAGGGGGGCTGAGGCTAAGCCAGCCCTTTCTTTCCTCTCTCGTTCAGGTCTGAGATGTGAATTCAAAGGACTCAGAGAGAATGTTACAATGAACGGCTTTGTCTTAGAGATCTCTCCCTTTGGGAGCGGCTCCTGCCTTCCTGTGACTGTAGCTTGGGACGGGGGTGGGCTGGGACAGGCCTGTGGGATAAGGGAGGGCTGACTAGGAGACGGGGTGAGCCATCCCTGGGGTTGCAAAAGATGGGAGGCCCAGCGAGGAGGAGGAGGAGGGAGGAAAACTCCAGAAAGCAAGCTTCAAAAAGCCCAGATGGCTTCCTGGGCCCCCTGATCCTTTCTTTCCCCAGCCGGGCAGGGCTCAGGGCATTATAACCTGCCCTGGCCAAGCGGTTGAAGCGGCAGAGCCCTCCCAACACCGCCTCTGGGAGGGGTGCTCATAGCAGGGTTCCCCGAACCATAACATTGCCAGGAATCAGCTATATCTTGTGTTTGTAGGGTCACTTGCCATTTTAAAAATACTAACCATTGCCCTAGCCGGTTTTGCTCAGTGGATAGAGCATCGGCCTGCAGATTCAAGGGTCCCCGGGTTCAATTCCGGTCAAGGGCACGTGCCTGGGTTGCAGGCTCGATCCCCAATGCGGCTTGCAGAGCGAGGGGGGCGGAACGCGTTTGCTGCCCTCGCTCATCAGCACGCTGCCCACGGCAGTAGCCACCTCCCTGATGGCCGCCCCTTCCTGGGCCTTGTGCCTCCTGTGGCGGCCTGGCATGCTGCCTTCCCCCATTAAAGTCCCTTCTTCCCTCTTCTCCCCGGACACCCCTCTTCTGCCGTTTTTTTCTCTCTAATTCCTGGCTGTCCTTTCTCAGTCTCTGTGACCAGCTCCCTTTTCTCTGCCTGTGCCTTTGTGTGGGTTGTTGGGGCTTTTTCTGTCTCAATCTGACCTCTTCTCTGCTTCCAACGTCCGATGACAGGGCCCCCTGTGAAGGCAGCCGGGGCTTGGGGCCGAGCAGCCAGGCTATTACACTGGCTGGCGGGTCTTCTTACTCTGAGAGGTTGGTTTTGATTTTTTAACTTGTTTTCTGTTCTCTTCTCAGTCTATATACAGAGGAGACTCTTCCATGGACGTGAATATATGTTGGAGAACATTGATTTGGGCTTCCAGGCACAGCGCGTGATGCTTGGTGGTACCCAAGCTGTTGTCCGGATGGTTTCTCACGTAAGTCTCCATAGGATTGTGTTACTGTTGTTGTTGTTAATCCTCACCCGAGGATGTTTTCCCATGGACTTTTAGAGAGTGGAAGGAAGGGGGAGGCAGAGAGAGAGAGAGAGAGAGAGAGAGAGAGAGAGAGAGAGAAAATGTGAGAGAGATACACCGATTGGTTGCTTCCCACACATGCCCCGACCAGGGCCAGGGATCAAGCCTGCAACCGCAGTACATGCCCTCATGCCCTTGACCCAAAGTCATGCCCCGACCAGGGCCAGGGATCGAGCCTGCAACCGCAGTACATGCCCTTGACCCGAAGTGAACCCGGGACCCTTCAGTCCGCCGGCCAACGCTCTATCTGCTGAGCCAAACCGGCCAGGGCCTCTATGGGATGTAGAACCACTGGCCGACGCTCTATCCGCTGAGCCAAACCGGCCGGGACCTCTATGGGATGTAGAGCCTGGAAAGATGTTCCTTTGCATCAGTCTCTCCAAGGAGGAGCCGGTCAGCCCCACCCCCTGCTGTCACCTGTCAGTCGGGCACCAAGGCTCCCTCCTTCCAGAGAAAGGCCCTGCCCAGCAGCCGAGAGGTCACGGAGACCCCGCGGGGCCCACAGAAGGGAGTGTGACACGGGAGGGGCCTCAGAGCGGAGTCTGGGCCTGAGTCACCTCCTAGGGATGTGGCCACAGAGCCAGGGTCTGACTCAGAGCCTGGAGCCTCTCCAGCTCTCACAGCGAGAATGGGAACCACAGAGGCCCCAGGCTCAGGTGGCCCAGGAGGGCAGGGCCACCCCTCTTCTCTCACTGCTGGCGATGAGAGGCGATGAGAGGCCGAGAGGCCAGCCAGGGCCCAAGCGAGGCTGGAGCCCATCCCCATGCCTGCTCCTCGGCCTCAGGCTCACCGAGTGGGGCCCACCCCAGCCTGCTCCTCGGGCTGTGCCCAGCCTCTGCCGAGTGCTGTGGGCCCGTCACTGCTCTTGCGGATGACGCGGGGGAGACCGGGGCTTCCTGACTCACACTCAGAAGGGCGTGTCCGGGGGAGATTCCACCCCAGCAGTGTAGGCTCTGATCAAAAATGCAAGTCACTCCCTGGCCGGTTTGGCTCAGTGGATGGAGTATCAGCCTGAGGATTGAAAGGTCCCGGGTTCGATTCCGGTCCTGAGGGCACGGACCTCAGTTGCAGTCTTGATCCCCTCCAGGCTCAATCCTGGCCCAATCCATGTGTCTCTCTCACATCGATGTTTCTCTCTCTCTGTCTCTCCCCCTCCCTTCCACTCTGTCTAAAAATCAATGGAAAAATATCTTCGGGTGAGGATTAACTAAAAAAAATTTTTTAAATGCAAGTCATGTCAAGACATAAGTGCTCTCTGATGTACATTCTGTGATGTGCGTTCGGAGATAAACAGAAAAGCACAATAAGGAATCCTTAGAGCTATTGCCTCTGTAACTTCTGGTACAGCACCTATGAGCCGGGAGTACAGGTATCTGTGTGTCTGATCACCTGCCGGCCTGGAAGTTACTAAAACGGACGTGTCTTTCTTATTTACCGTGTGGTCCTGGCACAGTCCCTGACCCCTGGGGGGTCCCTGGTGCAACGCTTACCCAAGGCAAAGCCTGTGGTGTCTTCAAAGTTCGTGTTACTGATATGGGGGGGATGGTGGGGGATGGGTGTGTTGGGGGTGCTGCTGGGGCCCGGTGTCCTGCCCCAGGGGTCCCTGAATGGAGAGTTTGAGGAGCCCAGGTTTGACATCTACCCTGATTGTTTCTGACGTCTGTGTTTAGAGCGGGGTGGGGTGCACCATCTGCTTTTACAAGAGAATCAGATCGCTCCCAGGCTGGGGCCCTGGTGAGGCGGATTCTAGGGGAAGAGGGAGAATGTGTTGCTCAGAGGCCTTGCAAGCAGGTCCGATGTCTCCCTCCTCCCCTCCCTCTATGTGGCCGGCCCGGCCCACCTCTCAGGTGCGGGTGCGGGTGCTGGTATTGGGGTGGGGGTGGGGGGGGCTCTTCAGGGAGTCTGGCCATCAACACTCAGCCCAGGCATTTCCAGGCCAACCACAGAGTCCTGGAAACCAGGAAAACTCGGGGACGTCCTTGGCCTGGAGAATTGGAGCATGGGGGTAGGGAGGTGGGTAAAGTGGGGTGATGTGGTGAGGCCCAGAGGAGGCCAGAGGCGAGGCGGGAGGTGGGCAGGGCCGGTCCTCCAGGGCCTGGAAAGGGCGGCGAGGGAGCCGCTGAAGGGGGTCAAGGCGGTGAGTGTCCTGGTCCCTGTCGGCCTGGACGGGGAAGGGGCAGGTGTCCGGGGAGTGGGCCCTGGGTCCTACCCAGGGACGTGGGGGCACCAGAGGCTCCTTCCTGGAGGTGGGACTGACCAGGGCTGCAGACCCCCCACCCCATGTCCCCAGAGCCCACGCACCCCCAGGGGAGGCCCTGAGGGAGAAGGACCAGACTTGCATGGATGCCATGTTCTTTGGAAGCTTGTTTAGACCAGTGGTCGGCAAACTGCGGCTCTCGAGCCATATGCGGCTCTTCGGCCCCTTGAGTGTGGCCACGAAGTTTCAATCGCACTGTACGTGTGTGCCCGCACGTGGTATTTAGTGCAAGAGCCACACTCAAGGAGCCACAGTTTGCTGATCACTGGTTTAGACCAAGTTCATGGCCTTTGAGGCTTCCTCCACGTGACTAGGAGTTCACTTTTTAAAAAAAATATATATTTTATTGATTTTTTACGGAGAGGAAGGGAGAGGGATAGAGAGTCCGAAACATTGATGAGAGAGAAACATCGATCAGCTGCCTCCTGCACACTCCCCACTGGGGATGTGCCTGCAACCAAGGTACATGCCCTTGACCGGAATCGAACCTGGGACCCTTGAGTCCGCAGGCCGACGCTCTATCCCTTGAGCCAAACCGGTTAGGGCAGGAGTTCACTTTTTGAATAATAAGGATGATATGTCACCGGGCGGGCATCAGGATTTGAGAGATGCTGAGGTGGGGCGTGGCCAACACAAGGTGGGGAGCCACTGGCCTAGAGTCCTGTGTGAGCAGGTGGGTGACGTCACACCCAGGCAGCGGCTCCGAAGGCCTCCTTGGTGTTGCGTTGGCGCCACCTCATGGCAGAAGGCAGTATGGCTGCTGCAAAGCCAAGAAGAGGAAATCTCCCCTGAAAGGCCACTTCTTCAGGGAGCCCTGGCTCATCTCAGTGGAGAATGGTGTTTGCAAGGCAAGACCCAGGTGCCTGTTGCCATGGAAGCGCCAAGATTTCAGACCCCGAGGGCAGGCTGTGCCTCTGATTGGTCATCCTCTGCTGCCCAGGGCCCAGACTCTACAAAGTCACATGCCAATGTGTACATGTGTGTCTAGTACACATGCAAATAATTTTTTTCAGGTAAAAAAACAAAACACAAAACTAAACTAAAACCAAAGCCAGAAACCAAACCAATCAAAAAAACAACCACCACCCCCACAACCCGGAAGGTTACAGTTTCAGGACCCTGTATGGCGTTCACCGGTTTTGTATGTAACCCAGAAATTCTAACGATCTTCACGCAGCACCTGTAACAGTTCGTCTCTTAAACGCTCTCAGAACCAGCTTCACCATCCGCTGGTTCTCTCGTGATTGGGCAAATAGATCACGAGAGAACAGGCAAATAAAGACACGTGGATAAATGGATACATGAATAATGAAATCAAGTTTGAACTCATGAAAAGTTATACCTGACCTTCCATTCCAAAGCAGTGCCACGTGGTTTGTTGTAAATTTCCCTCTTTCTGTATCTGTAGTTCCCTCTCCCGTCATTCTTCGTATACTGCTCCATTTTTGCTTAGTCCAAGAATGCACGGAAAGTAGTTTGGAATTGCTAACCCGTGCACTGTGAAAATGAGAACTACTCATCCATGTTCAATATTTGTTTATGGTGTTTGGTTTTTTTGGTCTTAACTGAGTATATATGCTCAAAACTACGGGCAAAATTTCTTGGGTTAGTTCTTCTCTTTCTCCCTTTCCGGGAGATTCTCAGTCTGACTGGTTGGGTTTGCTCCACGACCCTTAGCGAGTGTTACGAACAAGTCCTCACTTTTTGCACAGGGTGGCCATGGAAACAGAAATAGCAAATAGACACACAGAAGAATGCAAAAAAACAAAGTCTGAGCGTGTCCCAGGAGGGGGTGCGTTCAATCCACCAGCAACCTATTTTGACTCGCCTTTTGCTGATATCCTAACGACACATTAGCTCTTCCCGCCCACATGGAGAATGACAGTGTGAACACATTTTAATTAACCCCAGATATTTTTCTCTGCTTGGAACCCTGAGAAATGGCTCTCCCTCGAAAGCACCCCGGAGGATAAAAGCAGGCCCAGCTCTCTAACGCCGAGCCATTCGAAGCCAGTCTTAAACAGGAGATTGAATGATGTCCCTGACTGTTCCGTTTTACATGTGGTTGGAGTGTGCTTTTGGTGGCACGGGAATTTTTTTTTTTATGACTCAAATAAATGACATCTAATTTTCAGTTTTCAATAGCTGGGCTGTGTATACTGTTCGCACAGTGTCAGGAACAAGATTCTAACAAAGCCTAACTCGGAGCAAAACTTGGGGTTCATCTTCAGGCCTCTGTCCCCCACTCATCCCGCTTTCCCGTCTTAATGGTCTTCTCTCTGTCTTCCATGGATGCGGTGTCCCTAGCATCTTAAACATTTTAAAACCTCTTTCATCGAAGTATCTGAGGTTCATTTACATGAAGGTATAAATAGCTGGTAAGAGCTTAAGTAATGCGCCTATGGGACAGCCAAGTTAGTGGTCCACGGTCCCGCCCTCAGGGCCAGTTGCAGGCGTTCAGGGTTCAATGAAAAATGAAAATGAATGTTCCCACATTCATCAAAACCCAGGGGGGAAAGTGCCATTAAAATCTAAAACTTTTTTCCTTTAAAAATATTTTTTTTTCTTGACCTGGACGGTGTGGCTCAGTAGATAGAGTGTCGGCCTGCGGACTGAAGGGTCCTGGGGTCGATTCCAGTCAAGGGCACATGCCTGGGTTGTGGGCTTGATCCCCAGAGGGGGGTGTGTAGGAGGCAGGTGATCCATGATTCTCTCTCATCATTGATGTTTCTACCTCGCTCTCCCTCTCCCTTCCTCTAGGAAATCAATAAAAATATATTTAAAAAATATTTTTTCTTTTAAACTGTAGTAAGTGTAATACATGAGAAACAACGTAAACTTTCGATCTGCAACAATATAGTTTTTGGTGTCATACTTTTATAGAATACAATGAATACTATTTATTAATTAATTTGATATTACGAGTGACTATAAGAGTTTTCCGGCTCAGGTTTCTGCAGATTCATATACGAGGCCCTTAGAATATATACTTTCACGATGGTGACAGGAGAGCATTAAACTGAGCAACTGTTGGGGGATGGGTTCCCGGGAAGTAGGAGCTGAGAAGGAGGGGGACATGCAGAGTCTGCATCAGGGACCAGCATCTGCGAATGGAGGTGGGAAGAGGTGGTCAGAGGGGGAAGCCAAAATGCGATGCAGTCTTTATTCTCTTGCCTGCCCAGTCCTTGGATGTGGGCTGCCCAGCTGGCCGACTGCATCCTCATAGTGTCATTGAGCACATGTCTCTAACCCAGTGGCATTTAACCGGGGGCGCTCTTGCCTCTCAGGGGGCACTTGGCAATGTTGGACCTTGTTGGTTGCCATGACGGCAGGGGTGCTACTGACACTAGTGAGGGGCGGCCAGGGTGCTGCTAGGCATCCTATAATGCACAGAACAGCCTCCCCCCTCCCCCAACAAAGCACTCTCTGGTCCCAAGTGTCAATAGTACAGACCTTGGAAAACCCTGCTTAACCTTTTATTTTTCTCTAAACAATGCAGTTGGATCTGGACGTTTGAGTCGGTTCAAGTTCAGCTTCGGAGAGAGGACAGAAGTCTTCCCAGGTGGACCTGTGTTGTACATCCTATTGAATCAGGTCAGAAGGCACGAATGCCCCATTTATTGGTGATGCACAGGTTAATAAGTGAGCTCAGATAGATTCATTATCAAGTTCCTCATTAGCCTTTTATCTAATAGTTTCACCATAAAGGGCTGACAACAGTGACTTCTAATTCTATCGCTTGCTTTCCTATAGCTGCAATCTATAATAATGAAAGCGTAATATGCTAATTAGACCGGATGTCCTTCTGGACGACCTTCCAGATGACCTTCTGGATGAAGCCAGGGCTGCGAGGGAAGCCCGGGTCCCGGATGCCTGCTGGCGGCCGGAGGGAAGCCTGGGTCCCGGGTGCCAGAGGGAAGCTGGTGCCAGCAGCTGGGGGAAGGCCTACTCTTGCATGAATTTCATGCATTGGGCCTCTAGTTCTCTTATAAAGAAAAACATTGACCTACCAACCGGTGACCCTGAAATAGCCCAGATAGGAAAGGCAGGATGCATGCATGATTCTTCCCCTTGCTCAATTTTCAGCCCTAGTCATGAAAAACGTGATTAAGATATTCTTTCTAGGTGTTTTCAGAAAAACCACCCCCTGAGGAACAAAACAGAAAAAGTGTGTTGTTACAGAGACAAAGTTACACCAAGCGCTTGGCTTTAAGGAGTCCACCAGGCCTGCTGGGACCACACAGGGCTCTAGGGGGCAGCAGAGACCACCAGCTGCTGGAGCTGGAACATCCTGGCTTTGATACCATTACAGCCTCCTTACCACCGACCAGACCAACCCCCCGCGCCGTCAGCTAGCTAGAATCTCAGCTGATCTGAGAGGCGACATCCGGGCATGGCCGCAGGGAGGGGCAGGGCTCCGTCTGGTCCGGTCCTGGTTCCCAGCAGCCCTGTGCTCCTCTCCCACCCCATCGATCCCTCTTCAAGATGGACAGGACCCCTATTCCGATCTTTGTGTTTAGCTTTCCTTTTTTTGGTGTGTTTCTATGGATTTTCCTATTCCCGATATTTCCTACAACTGGGAGCAGACACTGTGAGGCCTTCTGCCATGGCGTCCTTCACTCGGCATAATGTTTTTAGGGTTCATCGGGTGGTAGCACGTATCAGGACTCCATTCCTTTTCATGGCTGCATACTATTCCACTCTATGGCCACACCGCATCTGTTCATCCGTTCGTCCACCGATGGCTGCTTGGGTTGTTTCCACGTTCTGCCTATTATGAATGATGCTGTCACGCGGCTTCGAGGACAGGTCTTTGTGTGGCCTTGTGCTTTCCCTTCTTTCAGTCCGTGGAGTGGAATGTTCATTGCGGTTCCATTTTGAGGGGCTGCAGGATGTTTTCCCTTCTCAACAGCCATGCATGAGAACTCTGTAGTACTCTTTTTAAAAAAATTTTACTTTTTAAAGTATTACAAATAGTAGTACATATGTCTCCTTTTTTTCCCCATTGACCTTCCCCTGGCCTCCCCTA